ATTGTCAGTGCAAGAAGCTAACCATTGAGCTCTTTGCCCATATAGTTGTAAAATTTCTCATATACATGGTGATCTCACTTAGAACACAACTGTTGATTATTACATGGTGGATAGAATAGCATAAACATGAGTAGAAACAGAAGACTGCTTTGAAAATGAAGACAGTGAACTTAAAAAAAGTTTCTCTTCTGAATTAATACGGAAACAAACTTAATGTTTCCAGTGCTCAGAAAGTTTAGCCAAATACCAGACAAAATTCTGAATATCCTTGCACTTTCAACTATTGTTCTCTAATCTCCTGTCCTCAATCAGAGAACAATGTGAACAAAAATATGTATGTGAGAATGTGTTTTTGATGCACCGTAAAAGACAAGGAAGATGATCAAGTTCAGATCTCACAAATATGGTCATTTTGGAAAAGATCAGATGGCATTGGTGGGTTTTGGTTTACTTTCAGAGTTTGAGATTGTATGGGACTTCTGGTGTTTCCTCAAAGCATAACCATGCTACCTCTAAATTGAGAAACATGGCAAAATATTTAATACTCTCCAAGGTAATTTTATAGTGGTGACCCCTGGATACAAGTCTGGCTTAGTCAGCAGTAGCCAGCTGAACAATTACTCCTAAATGATCTTGGAACCCAGAAGTATTCTACTGATGGTTGCAAAATGTTTGGTGGTCATACACATGTGACCCAAATAAAATAATTCTTACTGCCAATGTAAACCAGTAGCACTTATACCCATTGAAGAGGCCAGCATCAGTTAACTAAACAGAAGTCTCTATCCTGGAGGTAGCAGTAGGATGGGATTCAGGTTGCCTGCCTTAATGAAGGCATTTGGCCTCCAGTTGTTTCACTGAGTTCATAACGAACTCGTGTCCTATCTGCCAGCTCTGCATGCCTGCATGTAAGCAGCTACATCCCTCCCATGGTTCCTTAAGAGCTCTTAGATTGTCATAGCCTCACAAAAATGTAATACTTGTGTTCAGATACTAGATACTCCTTACAGACATCACTGCATGAAGTGTGTGTTTCCTTGGTCATATTTCTGACTGAAAATACCACCTTTATCTATGTCATTCTGCCTTTAAGTGCATGAGCTTGAGGAGTGTCTATGTGGTGTGTTCCAAGCAGTTGAAGAGCTGCATCTTAAAAGAAGTTTCTGGGAGAAGTTTTATGAAAATGTCAGCTCAGCAATCGGATCCCAGTTATTAAGAACAAAACAGACCCCCTCCATCCCACGGTCTTCTGCAACTCAAAGCAATGCAGTAGAACTTGCAAAGATCAGAGAAGGGTGACAAGGGAGATCAAAGCTCTGCAATGAGTTCCATCTGAGGAACAGCTGAATAGCTTGGGGCATTTTGTATTGGAGAAGAGATAAATGGTGGGAGGAGAATACCACCGAGACCTTTAGAATCAGGAGTAGCAAAGGGAGAATAAATAGAGAACAGTGCTTCCTTGTACAAAAACTTCTTGAGCCTAACACTTAAGCAGTGTAAACCTTCAGTTTGGAAAGAGTTTGAGGGATTCTTTCGTGAATGTGTCCAGTGAGGGCTATGAAATACTGCTTTTGGTAGACTTCCTGAGCCACAAATTGTTAGAAGCTGAGAGAACATTCTGAAGGAGTCTCACTGCTTGCTTCCCTCTTCTTAAGCACTTTCCTAGGTGTATATCAGAGATGGGGTGCTCAGCCAGGTGCATCTTTGCTCTGACCTCATGGTCATTCTGGCATGTATTTGAAGCACAGTTAACCACACATGAAAGAACTCTGAAGGAAATTTAATTCTTTCACGTGCTTTTCACAGTGGACAGAAAACAATGACAGCTGCACCAAAAAGACTGGAAAATTCCGTTTCTTATACACTGAGATTCTTGGATAAAGCACAGCATTCGTTTGTATTCTCTCCCCGCCCCAGCGGAGCTGATTCTAACCATTTTTACAAGATGTAATCCTCAGACAATTAATCTTATGACTTAAAAGAAAAGACTTTGCCTTAATTTATTTTTCCTGAAGCTTATCCATTCCCACATTATTCCGGTGGTTAGGTTTAGTACTTGGCTAGAAAATTTAATTCTAGCCACTTCAATTTTCAGGGGGTCATCTTTTCTCATTTCTTGCTAATGATAAATTTTGATCACTTCATATATACTCAGCAAACTGCTGTAGTGATACAGAAGAGCAGTTTTACTGGGGTGGTTCTGCTTTTGTCTTTCAGGCACAACTGGTGCTTGATTAGAAAAAAAAACCCACAGAAAATAATTATTTGGAGTTGCAAATTGTTTTTGTTATCCAATATTTGCTGGCAGTTGTGAAGGTTTAGTGGTTAGGTGCTTATAAGTTTCTTTTTCTGTTACTTTGAAATATTTGATTCGTGGAACAGGTTTTGTAATAGTAATTCAAGTGTCTAATATCTCACTACAAGGAGAAACAGTGTGATGGGTAGTGAATAATTAAAGTATTCCCTTTTATTACATTATGTGAGGTTTTAGAAAGTGGCATTAAGCGCATAATCACAAATTTAATTGTTTGAAGTTTTTTTTTTTTAAATGTCCTGTTTGGATAGGGAGATTGTATTTAATGTTTCTATTAAAAAATTTCCAGAACTGTTCGTCAGATGGCACAGGAGCAGTTCTTTTTAATGGCTACCAGGTGTTGCATGGGACAGAGACCTCTCCTTTTCTTCATTACCCTGCTGTTTACTGTTCTGGGGGTAAGTTTTTAGAGGTAAAGGCTTCAGTACAATGTGAACTGTAGAAAGTAGCAAGACAAAAGACCTACAAGAAAGGGAAAATTGCTATTAACAACAGTCACTAAAATGTGGATTCCTTTTGACCTGTAGGCAGACAGCACAGTTTATTTCAATTTAAGTTAGATGATGGGGAAGGGTACTTCTTTGCATTTTCTGATAAGAATATGAACACAAAGCTTTAATATATGCATTTGATCTTCAGTGAATGCTAACCTTCAAGTAAAAATCATTAGCAGGTAGCTACAGTTACTGCCTTCTTTTACTGGGCCTGCCAGGGCTTCTCAATTCTGCGTGCTCACAGCTCTCTTGAACATTTGATCGCTTCACTGTTTGTTCTCCACTCAGGTATAGAAATTGCTACTAAAATAGTCCAGAAGTCTTTCATTAACAGCTAAATACAGTTGTAAACTTTTAAAATGTTAGAAAATAAGTGCAAGATAGTTTGTTTGGTTTTCTTATACTTGCGGTTTTAGGGGAAAATATGTTAATGTTGCACTGGAAGTAGAAGTATATGTGAATTGCATATAATTTGTTTTTGGTTTACATAGAGTACTGCAAGAGAGCGAGCTAAGCATTCTGGAGATTACTTCACTCTTTTAAGGCATCTTCTTAACTATGCTTACAACAGTAATATAAATGTACCAAATGCTGAAGTTCTTCTCAATAATGAAATTGACTGGCTTAAGAGAATTAGGGTAAGTTTTAGGATCACTTTATTTCTGATAATCAGCTTTTTGCTGATTTGTTGTAAAGTGTGGTTTTAAGTTGGAAATGCTTATTATTTAGGGTGTCCAAACTCTTTCTTAAATGGCAGGATGAAGTAAAAAGAACAGGAGAAACAGGTGTTGAAGAAACTATCTTAGAGGGTCACCTTGGAGTAACAAAAGAGTTGTTAGCATTCCAGACGCCTGAGAAGAAATACCATATTGGTTGTGAAAAAGGAGGTGCTAATCTCATTAAAGTAAGTTCAAGTTTTTTGACAGATGGAGTTTGTGGGGTTTTTTTACTATAAATAGGTAAAAGAAAGCTTCACATCTCGTTGTCTGTAACCAAAAAAACCCCCAAGTTATCTATTTGACAAGACCTTCTAATTGGAGTCTAATATTTTCTTTAATTTTTTTTTTAAAAAGTCATATGTTTCATTCATAAGAGTACCTAACATTCTCATTTGTTGGAACCATGGTGTATGGAGTTGCTGTGACCTAGCGAGCTGTTATCCAAGACTTGGCAGACATCACACAAGGACAGTGAGCCAGATACAGGATAGTCCTGTACAGGGCTGCTTTCTTTCGTTACTCCTGTAATGTGTTTTCTCCACATGTTCTTAATAGTGCTGTGAATGTTTATGGCAGGTTTGAGCATGAACAAATGCGTGACATCTGAGCGTCTCTGTAATCAGACATGTTTTCTTTGTACCTCTGATACTGTACAGTAGCAGTGGTTTTTTTTTCAGAACTAATTGATGAAGAGCTTTGTAGATAATTTTTGGATAATTTTTGCCAATCAATAATTGGATTTATTTTCAATTTGAAGTCAGGGGGTGGGTTTGTAGGGAACCACTTTAGGATGGACTTACTCTGTTCTAAATTTAAAAGCTTTTTATGGTGTAAGTCTCAGTTTTAACTGTTGGTTTTTTTAAGTACTCTTCTGGTTCTCAAGCATTAATTTATGTAATAATTTATTCTGTTATAAAATAATGTGCATTTCTGCAGTAACAGTTGATTTATTTTCTCTTGTGTGGGTTTTTTTTCAGGAGTTGATAGATGATTTCATCTTTCCAGCATCCAATGTTTATCTGCAATATATGAGAAATGGAGAATTGCCTGCTGAGCAGGCCATACCAGTCTGTAGTTCACCAGCTACTATTAATGCTGGCTTTGAGCTACTAGTTGCACTAGCAGTTGGATGTGTCCGAAATCTCAAACAGATAGTAGACACCTTGACTGAAATGTATTACATAGGTACAGCAATCACTAGTATGTAAACCTTTTAATTACCTATTTTCTACTTTTTAATGTATATATTATGTATAGGTTTTGCTTATATTATCAACTGAATTAGGTGCTGTGCTTTTTTTAGTTTGTGGCTGCTTCTAATGTTGCAAAATCAGGCTGTCAAAATTTAGATAAGTTTGATAGTGTAGACTCTATTTGTTCTTCTTTATGCAGTAAATGTACAGACTTGCATTACATGGTTGCATCCAAGTTCCAGCCCCAGGTACTTACACAGTTTGACCCTTCCTACCCTGATCTCTGGCTGCTCCCCTTTGTCCATACCAGCTCCCAGGAACCTCATTTGGTCTGTATCTTCTACTTTTGTCTCATCGTTTCAGGCTCTGCCTAACCAATCCCAGAACCTCATCAGGTATCTTCAGTTTAGTTTTAGTACCAGTCTTGGTTGCTCACCTGATTTGTCGTCATTGTCCGCACACAGACACAGGTCCACTGTGCTGTTTCCCTTTTTAGCTCTGTACTCATTCTCTGCTTGTCATAGTCCTTAAATGTTTGTTCTCTCAGTTTTGGCCTTGTGTCAGCACAGCTCTGCACTTAAAGAACTTTCTCTTCACTGGAGAAAGATTGCTGTATGTGCAAAAACTTACATATGTTACTGTTTCAAAAGCTCATAGTCAAATGAAACAAGGGCTAATTTTCACAAGGATGCCAGAAGGCTCATACTTAACACAGATTTCGTTATCAATAAAAAGTGTGAGACTTTCTTAAACAGGAGCGTATTTTCTGCAGTCCTACATGGAATAGCTAACTCGTATTGGCTGTTATACTATCAGAGAAAGAAAGAGGCAAGAGGGATGATGACACACACCAAACTCCAGCTGATACAGGAAGAAAGGCTGAGAGAGTTGGGCTTGTTCAACCTAAAGGGGAGGAGGCTCTGGGGAGACCTTACTGTGGCCTTTCAGTATATAAAGGAGGCTTATAAGAAAGATGAAGAGGAACTTTTTACCAGGGCCTGTAGAGACAGGACGAAGGGCAGTGATTTTAAACTGAAAGAGGATAGATTTAAATTGAACATAAAGAATAAATTATTTATAGTAAGGCTGTAAAGGTTGCCCACTGGAGCAGGTTGCCTAGAAAAGTTATGGATGCCCCATCATTGGAAGTTTTCAAGGCCAAGTTGAATGGGGCTTTGAGCAGCCTGATCTAGTGAAAGATAGCCCTGCCCATGGCAGGGGGCATGGAATAGAGAGTCTTCAAAGGTCCCTTCCAACCCAAACCATTCTGTGATTTAATAATGTTTAAACTTGTGTAGGGTAGCAAAACTGTAAGCAACTAGAAACAGTGTCCCATAGTGGGACTTGTCCACTGTGCCTTAAAGTGACAATGCTGCTTTCCCAGTTGGTGGTATCAGTGAGTCATTTGAGTTAGTTTTTCAATCTCTTCCTGTTTGATTCCATCTCAAATGAACAAATGAAAAGGGCAGCTTTATGGTTTTCCTCTGTACCTCATCCTTTTTTTCCACTCTTTTCTATTGGGAAGTAGTGTGCTTCTTATCACCTCACAGTTAGAAGGATTTTTATGACATTTCCTTCTACTCAAATATTTGGTAAGCACAATAGAATGCCAGATCGCCATGGTACATCAGACAGAAGAGAGAACACATGTTTGAACTGTGCATGCTGTGTGTTTCATATGCCAAGTAAAGCTTGCTTGTAAACATGCATGCTCTCTTCCTTTATTTTACATGAGGTTTTTTGTGTTAAAAACAATATAACAAGTTAGGATAGGAAACCTGTGATCATAAATGTCCTCTGAGGAGATGTGAGAGGTCTGAGGGACAAGACTCCTGAGAAGAAAAAATCTATCACATATCATACAGATAGCATTATCTAAAACTGTTTCCCATTCTGGCAAGGAAAAGTGAAGCATAAATTAAATACTATAATTTTAAAAGGATTATAAATTTGTGAAAAGCTTATAAATTGCTTATTTATTCTAGGTTCATTCAAGTGAATTTGTCAGCTAAGAAACTTGCTGGTATTGAGGGAAGACTTCAGTAGATAAATAGACTGAATTTTTGTCTGGCCGTGTTTTTAGTTACACAATACAAGGAAATGGTGTAATGTTAAAATTACAGATAGAACTCTCATTTGTAGACGCTGTGTAGTTTTAGCAATTAAGTTTTGTGGTGGAACATTTGTTCTATTAAACTGCAGTGTGATACAGGTTAATATTAATTTTATGCAACTGTCCTTTGTACTGCATTGATGGACTGATTCTTTTATAACAAAGTAGCGTCCTAATCCCATTCTGCGATTTTCTTTTAGCCTGTGAAGCGCTTACAGAATGGGAATATCTACCACCTGTTGGGCCTCGACCGCCAAAGGGATTTGTAGGACTAAAAAATGCTGGTGCCACTTGTTACATGAATTCTGTCATTCAGCAACTGTACATGATTCCAGCCATCAGGAATGGTATCCTTGCAATTGAAGGAACAGGCAGTGATGTAGATGATGACATGTCGGGAGATGAAAAGCAGGACAATGAGGTAAACTTAATTATATAGAACTTGCCTATCTTTAAAATAGAATTCTTTTTAATGAAAAGGTTATAACAAATTTAAGTTACTAGTATCTTTGCTTTCCACTGCTAGCAGTGTGAATGGCAGTATGTTTCTTACTTGAATGGGCTTGCTGCCAGAGCGGCAGTTCAAAAGATCCCAGTTGCATGGATTGCAGACTTCCTCCTTGTGGATTTATACTGGAAAGCACCGTATACCACTTCTGCCATCAAAACTCTGATCATGCAAAGGCATTATTTGTTTCTTCACATGAGAATGTGAAACACCTTAGACTGTTTAATTAAACTAGTGATACAACTGGCTATGAGACAGCTACATAGCAAAGTTAATTGCACAAATTTTCTTCTGCTTTTCAGAGCAATGTTGACCCACGAGATGATGTGTTTGGTTATCCCCATCAGTATGAAGACAAACCGGCACTGAGTAAAACGGAAGATAGAAAAGAGTACAATATTGGAGTTCTGAGGCATCTCCAAGTAATTTTTGGTCATTTAGCAGCTTCCAGGCTACAGTACTATGTACCAAGAGGTTTTTGGAAACAATTTAGGTAAATAGAAAATTTAGTATTGATGTCTGTTCACTGGGCCACTGAAATGCAGCAAAACTAATCACAGGTGAAGAAATGACAGTGATGTTAAGTGTAAATTAGCAGAACTTGTGCAGCAGTCTGTTGATAAACTAAAATTTACAGCAAGATGGCTGTTTTGAATTCTGACTGTTCTTGACCTTGATGACTGAGGCTTTGAATTAAGTATGAAGTTATACACAACAGCTTGTTTTTACCTGGCAGTAAGTGTCAGGGACAGAGTACCAGTTAGTATAACTACGTCACAAAATAGTGAATAATTTTGTCCACTAAGGAGGAGGGATTAATAGCTTGAATAATATTTTTTTAGAAAATAAATTGTTGGAGAACAAAACAAAAAATACTTGACAAGCATGTGCTTTTGTTTTCAGACTCTGGGGTGAACCTGTAAATCTGCGTGAACAACATGATGCTTTAGAATTTTTTAATTCCTTGGTGGACAGTTTAGATGAAGCTTTAAAAGCTTTGGGCCACCCAGCAATGTTAAGTAAAGTTTTAGGAGGGTCCTTTGCTGATCAGAAGATTTGTCAAGGATGTCCACATCGGTAAGTTTCTCCTTTCTTACAGCAAAAGACCCCTGTGTTTGTATCCTTGTAAAAGTGACTAAAGAGTAAGAGTGGTGTTTTTGTGCTGGTTGGTTTGAGGGTGGTGGTGGTGGTGGTGGTGTTTTTAAGCCAACAGAATGTGCTAGCTTGCTTTTCTGCAGCCTTAACATTAATTTGCCCTCAGATGCATTGAAATACTTGATTACTGTTTCTTCTACTTGGCAGATAGTATGTGCAGCACTGTGTATTGACCAGGGGAGGAAAGGATACAGCTTTTTAATGTTTAAAGGGAAAACAACGTAGGGACCAAATGCAACGTATAGAATTTTAGAACGTGACCAAAAGCTATTGCCATCTTCTGTCTTCCGTAGTGTGTGGTAGAGCTGACCCAAGTATGAATTTTTAATTCCAATGAGTAAAACTCAATTTGTACTGACTATGTGAACTGTATTTCTACTGTATTTTTAATTGACTTTAAATGTGTATGCTGAAATTCAGCTTCATAAGTGGTATATAAAAGACCTGTACCAAATCAGACTGTAAGTCTGTAGCCCTCTACCTTGGTGGTGGTGGTGATCAATGACAAATGCTTAGTGAAAGAACAGAACTAGGCACTGTACAGTTGTACTTCTCTAGACTTTTTCTTCTATATTGCTTTTGAGGTTGATGGTTAAAATTGTGTGCAGGATTCAAGAAACCCTAATGATGGACTTGTTCTTTTTCAACAGCTGGCTTTTTTATTATTGTGTTAATTTTTATATCACTGACTTCTAGCTGTTCACTGCGTCTTTCAGATTGTGTGGTTTTTAAACAGTCTAGAGCTCTCTGCACATGACCATTGCGAATTCTCTTTATTGTGGAAAGTCATCGCTTAGTATTATCCTTCAATTAGAAAGTAAAATACAGGAAAAACACTGATGCAAATTTTATTGTGGTAGTCTTTTAACTTCGGTTGAGCTCATGTGTGAATTAGAAGAACTTGTAAGTGGAACATCATAAGTTTCATGGGTTAAAATGTGTGACCAGAAGTAAGTTGAAATGTTGCAAGATAAAATGAAAGCACTGCTTTTATTTGATGTACAATGGGTAATTAAATGGAAAATACAGATGTGAATCAGCGTGAGTTACCATTTATTCCTGATACTGTGTGCTATTCTGAAGTATGTCCTGTCTTTTTTTGGAACTCCAGTAGATTTGCGTAATTGTACTTAATTAAAATGTTATTCTCATTGTAGTTTAGGGAGGAGAAAACTAGTGATAAACTAAACTCTTGGATTGAGGGATGACAGATTAAAAGCCTTTTTAAATTTGTGGGTTATTTAATAGATGAATGAATATTACTGTTTTGGTTGAAGTGTTTCTAAATATTAATTTATTCACTGTTAATAAAACCCTTTATATGCTTGATTGCATATTGGAAAAAGAACCCCTGCAGGGTTATGCTGGAATAGATGCATTTTATTCATTGCTGCTTTAGCTTTTTTAAAAAAAAACAACTTTCGAAAAGATTTCTTAACTGGTTGTCTTTCAAGCATTGCTGGGAATTTGTTTAAAGGTTATATCAGAACACAGCAAGTCAAAGCCAGTCATAAATATGCACAGTGATTTAATAAAAAGCTTTTCTTAAAAAAAAACAAAACAAAACAAAAAATCTGTTTTGAACTGTCATCTTTAGGTATGATGCAATATTTGTGATTATCAGTCTTATTCCAGACAGTAAAGTTCAGCAATGGAAAAAGTCCTCTTATTTTTCTATTTATGATTCTCTACTAGGTTGTTAGCCAAGAGTCTGTCACGCTACTTTAACTGCTTTCAAAACATGTGGTAAAAGATTCAGCTTCCATGACCTTGAGTCACAAAAGTCATTTCTATAATCTTCATTAAAAAACCTATAGTTAGTGCAGAGTAGCAACTGTTGAGTAAAACTTTTGCAGTAGGATGCTGTGTGGCACCTGTAAAGCATGAAAGTTGAACACGTTTCTACCTTTCCCTTACATCTGTCTGTTCATTGGTAGGTATGAATGTGAAGAATCCTTCACAACTCTGAATGTAGATATAAGAAATCACCAAAACCTTCTTGATTCTTTGGAACAGTATGTCAAAGGAGATTTATTGGAAGGTGCAAATGCATATCATTGTGAAAAATGCAACAAAAAGGTAATGATTCCTTCTAAACTAAATTTGTGCACAACTGCAGTGTTGCAGGTCTCTACTAAAGTTCAGTCTTGGTTCATGTTCAGGGAAAAAAAGTTGTACTTTAATGCTGAATTACTGGTTGTTGGTAAGAGTATATGAATAGCAACTGAAAAGCTGGTAACTGTTAATGTCCTTTTTTAGGTCGATACGGTGAAACGCTTGTTGATTAAGAAGTTGCCTCCAGTTCTTGCTATCCAGTTGAAACGATTTGATTATGACTGGGAAAGGGAATGTGCAATCAAGTTCAATGATTACTTTGAATTTCCACGAGAGCTGGACATGGAGCCTTACACAGTGGCAGGTGTAGCTAAATTGGAAGGAGATGATGTAAATCCTGAAAATCAGATAATACAAAATGAACAGTCAGAAAATGAACACTCTGGGAGCACGAAATACAGGCTTGTTGGTGTACTTGTACACAGTGGCCAGGCCAGTGGTGGACATTATTACTCTTACATTATCCAGAGGAATGGTGGAGATGGTGAGAAAAATCGATGGTATAAATTTGATGATGGAGATGTGACAGAGTGTAAAATGGATGATGATGAGGAAATGAAAAACCAGTGTTTTGGTGGAGAATACATGGGAGAAGTGTTTGATCACATGATGAAGCGTATGTCCTACAGGCGCCAGAAGAGGTGGTGGAATGCCTATATTCTTTTTTATGAACGTATGGACACAATAGACAAAGACAATGAACTAATAAAATATATTTCAGAACTCACTATCACCACTAAACCCCACCAGATTAAAATGCCATCAGCCATTGAACGAAGCGTACGGAAGCAGAACGTGCAGTTCATGCACAATCGTATGCAGTACAGCCTAGAGTATTTCCAGTTCATCAAGAAGTTGCTTACTTGTAATAGCGTCTACTTAAATCCTCCTCCAGGTTAGTATGTCGGCGTAATAATTACGGATTCATTTCTTGAAAGAAGAATTTTGAGTTGAGTTGTTAAGAATTTGGCTAGCCAGTGAAAAATTTGTGCATTCTGCTTTGAGTACCCCATCTTTCTGGACCTCTGTAGTTAAACGGCTGCTGTTGACGTGTTCATCAGTGATCACATGCCAGAATGCTTACCAGAAAATACTTTGATAAACTAGCAACTGTAACTCAGCTTATGTACTGAGTTGTATTAAAATACTTCAGTCGGTGGACTGCTCTGCTGAAGACAGTCTGCCAAGGTGAGATGCTGAATGTCTAAAAATCATGTTAGCCTCCAGGTACTTATTACTGTCTTAAAGCTTACATTTTCAAATGACACGTTACCATAGCTCAAGGCTGTTTTGTTCAGGTTTCCTGTTAAAATTGGAACACAGTGTCAGGCAAAATAGTAATCCAGAATCAGTTAAATTATTGAAAGGTATTTGCTTTTACCTTGTCTACATGTCAGTATTTTGATTTTTCTTTAGGACAAGACCATCTGTTGCCTGAAGCAGAAGAAATAACTATGATTAGTATTCAACTTGCTGCTAGATTTCTCTTCACCACAGGATTTCATACAAAGAAAATAGTCCGTGGCCCTGCTAGTGATTGGTATCTTGTCTTTTTTAAAAAAAATTACAGTTTTGGAAGTTCACTGTCTTGTTAAAAGATCGCTGTTACATACATATAACAATAAAAGGTGTTAGTGTTCTGTCCTACTTTCACCCCTCTCCCAAATACATAGTCAAGGTGCACATGAAAAGGGGAGGAAAATTGAACAGAAAACACTGAGAAGAAACTGAGCCTTAAAATAAGCTGCTGAGCTGAATAGTTTTGGAATTCATTTTCAAACAGGGCCTAAATCTATCTTTTGACTGTCTTTAAAAAGAATAAAAGAGTAGAATCTCTCACTAGTGCAAAACTAGTAGATTATATATTCTGAGTAGTTCAGAATGGTTTGGTCATGGCTTCAGTAGTTTTAAACACAGCACTTTTCAACCCATTTTTTGCAGCTTATATTTGTATTCTGCTTCAGAAATGTATGTAATTTTTAGGGTCTGTTAGCAGAATGCTGTGTGTACATTGCTACAAGGCCTGTAAATCAAATCTGCAGTATAATAAACAGTACAATCTTATTCATAGCACCACAGCATTTTAGCCTTTAAGATAGATTATTCCATGTTGGGGAGAGGAGTGTGGGTTGCTACAGGTAGAACTAGAGAGAAAAATCTAGTATTCATCATGACCAATAGTTTACCAGCTACTAGTAAGTAGCTCTGTAATACATGGCAAATATGTACCTCAAATTTTTCTCTAATAGCAATTTTCAGAGTACCTAAGTTACTCTTGTTATTTTAAAGAATTAAGAGGAGTTCAAATACTGCTGCAGGAAGGGCAGTCACACAAGACCCTTCCTGGAACAGATATTTTACTCTGAGGTTTTGAGGTTTTTTTAGATCTGTAAATGAGAATTCCTGTAAATGTAAATTCCTGATAGGTTACATACTTAGTTGTTTGTCTTATACACAACTCATGAAATCCACCTCACGTTTTCCCCACTGCTTGCCCTCTCCCTCAGTTCCAATAGAGAGGGAATGACGGCTGCCAATTCAGCACCTGTGTTGGGTAATAGTTTGGGAGTTAGAGGATGTAATCCTGTGTTAGTTCTTATGGGTGATATAAGTAAAATGCTACAGTTAAATGTTAGGTTTTTAATTGAAGTATCTTTTTTATTTGTGATTGCTAGTAACGTAGAGTATCACCGTAGGAACTGTATCTGATCGTAAGTGTTTTGTGAGCAAAAATATTTGGGGATCACCTGTAGCATGTATTTTCTTCAAATTCTGCAAAAGAATGTCTGCCAAAACTCATTAATGTCAACATTTGGTGTCTCAGTTGTGTTGTGTTCTATTTCAGGTATGATGCGTTATGCATCCTTCTTCGTCACAGCAAGAATGTACGCTTTTGGTTTGCACACAACGTCCTTTTTAATGTTTCAAACCGCTTCTCTGAGTATCTTTTGGAATGCCCTAGTGCTGAAGTGAGGGGTGCATTTGCAAAACTTATAGTATTTATTGCACATTTTTCATTGCAAGATGGGCCATGTCCTTCACCTTTTGCCTCTCCTGGACCTTCCAGTCAGGTATTTAGTTTTCTGACAAAAAACTTTTTGAAACTTATTCTTAATTCTTCGTTATAAGCATTTAATGTAGAGTACATTCTGGAGTAGAGGCATCAATGTTGACAGTACTGTACTACATATATCATGGTAACTCCATCAGTTTGGGTGAGAGTTGTTGTCAGAGGGGATTGGTTTCCCCTCATTTGTAAATCTCTGTGAAGACTAAGTAGTGAGAACTTAGAGTTGAGTTGCAAGTGTGAAATCTGCAAAATAAAAGCAGTGGCTTATAATAATGTGTAGGGGAGTGAACCCTTGTTTTTTATTTAGAAATAAAATCAAAACAAACCAAAATCCAACCTTCCCCACCCTAACCAATCACTACAAAAGAAACAAAAAAACCTAATAATGAGAACATGCAGGAGTTCCCTAAGTTTTCTTCCCATGTGTCCTGCGACGTTGAAGTTGTCAAAAATTTTAACTTTGAATAAAGGAATAGACAATGAATTGCCTAATTTTCTATACCTGGAACTGGCAAAAAAAAGCCAAAAATATTAATGTAATACTTGTCATAACAATGTTTTCATTTGGACTGTATTAAAATGTAAAAGATCAACCTTTTTGAACTTTTACTTTGTCATGTTTTCATTGTCTCCAGTAAGACACTTTTTATTTGTATTGGCCTACTTACCTTTGCAGAATGTTTTCATTACTGTATCTAGCAACATAATTTGTATTCGGATAAAGCTGCATATGCTTTGACAGTGTTTTGTTTCATGAGGTATTTGAGATACCACCTGTAGAGGTGATTTGGTTGCATGTCTTAGTCTATGAAGTTCACAGTGGAACTGCATGCACTTTTCTGAGTATTGGTCTAGCTACTTTTGAGAAAAAGCTCAATTGAAAGCTGCTATCCTTGCATAATTTCTTGGACTTATATAGTACTTAGTGATAGGAGTCTTATTGCCTGTATGTCTGTCTGTCTGTCTTTGTGTGAGGTACAGAAGACTAACCAGCTGCTAGTAGTTTGAAGCTTGTATGAAGCCCAGAGCTTTTAAGCAATTCTGTTATCTGCCATAGTAGAAAGTATAACCTAAATAAAGGATTGATAGGTTCAACTGCTAATATTAAAACTTTTTTTTTAATAGGCTTATGATAACTTAAGTTTAAGTGATCACTTACTGAGAGCGGTACTGAATCTTCTAAGAAGAGAAGTGTCTGAACATGGGCGCCATTTGCAGCAGTATTTCAATCTGTTTGTGATGTATGCCAACCTAGGTAAGCAAGTTACACACAGTTTTACTGATGCGCTACTGTAATAAACTGTTCTTTATTAATGAACCAGTTACACAGGTATTAGCAGGAGAATCCAGTTTTTCAGCCTCAAGCAGATTGTTATCATTAAATGCCATATAAATGCTCTCTAGAGCATCCATGTTCCTCCAGTTTGGAGTTTGGGGATTTAGTCTTCTTGCCATCCTTGGAAGATTAACGCAAGCAGCTTGGAGCAATAGGAGTGTGTCATTCTGAGAGTGTGGGGGTGAGAGTGAGTTGATGCTTTGTTCAGGGCTTCTTCGCAGGGAGGTCATGAGACCCCAGAAGCATGTGAGACTGTCAACTGGCTTGAGCATGAAGAAGTTGAAGAAGATAAAAATAAATAAAACCAGAATTATGCCCAGTTGTCCTTTATGAAAACATCAGTACAGATGGTCATGCTTTGTCTGTATATTTCAACTGTGCTTTTTCAATATTAATTTCTTTAGTTTACCTTTGAAGTTGACAGCTATGAATGCAAAACACTATTTCTGTCTTCCCTTTAAAGACTCTTTGGGAAGCTGAGGAAGTATCTCCATTTGTATGTGTTCTTAGACATCATTGCTTGCCAGAATGCTTTCACCATAGACATCATATGAGCTAAAAGAATGCAAGAATCAGGAAATTCCTCAAGTATTGCAGTTCCTCCAAGACAAACAGGCAAGAAAAGCCAATGTTTTTGCAATATAGGAAGGCTTAAATAAAGTCCTAGACTTGAGACACAAAGATTAGAATCACGATTTTTCTCATGACACATTAAATTGGAGACAAAGTATGAGCGCAAATGATTTTTTTAGCACCTTTGAATGCAAGACTAGCAAGACTACCTGTATTTGCAGGTACTACATTTAAGACCTATTGTACACAGACACACAGAATCGCTCAGTTGGAAA